TCCAAGTACTGCTTGCCCAGGTGCACCAAGTCGCCTCTGGCTTTGCTCCACCACGGCCTCGAATAGTGATTTTGCTCGTGATCTGACACTCAGCATGCAACTTTATTACCGAAGTAGAAAAGCACTGTTAAGCAGTGAGCGATGCAAAATGTGGAGCCAAGCCCTCCTTCCCGCAGCTGCTCTCAGCCTCCTGAATTGAGTTAGGATTTATTCCCTAATCAGCCCTTTTTGCTGTGTTGACACGGGAGGTACGTGAAAGCAATGCCAGCGTACTGGGTTGTTTTTTTTTTTCTCCTCTGTAAGATCCCACTTAAACCGATGACAACCGGCTCTCAGGACAGATTTCAAAATGGGAAAGGTAATTTCCCTTTTGTGCAGTGGGACTATGTGCAGTTCTCCAGTACAGTACATTCCAGTTTCAGGAGGCAAAAGGAAGACAAGATAAAGGGTTTCACAGTAAATTATGCTTGTAAACTTTCATGAGTAAGGCTCAAAACAATTTTCTTAGTTCCCTGTTTAAGGCCGTGATGCCGACTGAGCCAGCAGTTCATTTCTGACACAATTTGTTGCCAAGTGGACAGCTGCCAGTTGCATAGCATCTCCAGCTTGAGTTGTTCAAAATATCGTTTTGTACCCTAAATCAAGTGTCAGATTATACTAGGTAAGCTTTAATCGTGGTTCTTTCAGAGCAGAGAGGCAGTGCTTTCCGACGGTGCTCTAGGACCACCCCACATGGGATAAAGAAAGGTCAGAAACATGTAACATTTTTCATTCTTCGTTCCAGTGTGTTTCGGGGAATGCAGGCAGACTTAATTTCCTGCTACTGATTTATTTTGCCTTTTAAACTATGCCTACCCAGCTGGCCTCAGGCAGAGAATCCTGCCAACGGTCGCATTTATTTTTGTGCCGAGCAATAATAAAGGACGAAGGTTTTGTTTCTTAGTTAACCCATAAGGACTGTCTGCCACAGTCTGTAGAGCTAAGTGAACACCTGCAATGAACACCCTTTAAAAACTTAGGAAATGCACCTTGAAACACACTTAGAAAGTCAATAGCTACTTCTGTGTTGGATGGAGTACAGAAGATGTCCAGGAGCCTCCATCCGTGCATCCGTTCCGCTACCGAGTGAAGGTTGCTGACCGTGTTAGCGGTTTGTGACAGTTTCAATGCATGCCACAAGCTAGATGTGTTCTCAGTGCACTGGCATCTACGCCAGTATTTTTAGAGCAAAATCAACGCCTTGGATTACAGGCAGGTTTACTGAGGAGTCCTTGCTAGTTTAGGACAGGAATAGTCCCATGAGATGAATCAAAAGGTATGTGGTCACCTACATGTATTCTGCACTTTTGTGCAGATGGTGATGGTAGCTAAGGATGGATGTTGCTTCTGCCTAAAAGTCCAGGAGCAGCTACAGGTGACAGGGGGACTAAAGCTGATGTTTCTTGCCTCTTCTCACCTCCTTCAGAATAGGCATGTCTTTGCCTTTCCATTTGGACTGCGATTCACCTTTGATATTTTTGCACAGCTGTCTTTCCATATGTTATTTAACATGTTGAGGTCTCTGTTTGTGGATTGATTTAAAAAAAAAAAGGAGAAAGAAGGAGAGAAAGAATGAAGTTTATTGGCCTTTCCTTTTAAAATTCAATTACCTTATGCAGTCTTGAACAATGAAACAACTAACCAGGCAGAAATCCCTACCGAGAGCTGTGATGTCAGCCGCAGCATCTGGGATGCTGACATTTCAGTCTAAAGGTCTGCAGCTCCTCTACTTGGGCTTCATGGACTTAGATGTCCATCTGGACCTGAAATGCCTCCTCATATGCTACCAGCACCAGCTTTGTTCCATAACTTGGAAATCAGGTTCGCTTGATCCTGCTTTTCAGGCAAGGGGACGGAATAAGTAATTTCTTGATGAGACTGAGCCCTATTTTCTGTCGTCTCTTCCATCATAAGTAAACAATGTCTCCAAAATCAGATGTCTGCTGTTCTGTTTTATATCTTTTCTCAGACTTCAATTTCACAAAACTGTAGAAAACAGAGAACGTATATTTGCATGGGTTTTTTTGCCTGTTGTCATACTGCAAAAATCTTGAAATTTATTTTCTTAGTTTTGAGTCTTCTGCTCTCCTAGTTGACTTTCTAATGTATATTTTCCCATTTGCAGCAATTTGCTCCTCAGATCTCAATTTTCATGTGAGTTCAGGTTCCCCCATGAAAACAGTCTTCAGAATATTGATCTTCATATGCAAATCTTTAAATAGTACAGGCAGGTTTTGAAAAAGTAAGACTCTATTTTAAGAATCTATTAAACATTGTCATGGAGAGAATGAGGGTATAGTTTTGTTTACTGCAGTATCAAGCCAACTATATGACACTATTTTGTACACTTGAGCATTTTTTCGAATCTTATTCTTCTATCAGGGTTGTCATCAACTCAGCCTGAATTTATGACATTTCTTAACAGTGCAATAAATGTTTTCTCTTTGCTATTTCATAAGGGCATTTGTTCAGTAGTTTGGTTTCTTTTTTGTACCACTGTGATGGGCAATCTTGTAAGATTTTTTTTGATGAAAACCAAATATAATTTGGCCGTAGTGTCATCTCAGGTGTTCGGACACGTACTGGCCTTTCATAAACGGCGATAAATCTGTGTCATTGAATTTGTAACTCTGTGCCATAATCTGGATGGCGTTTATTTTGTCCGCAGGTTGATTTTCTGATTGTCTGTTCTATTGCTGTCTTAAAGCTCTATTTCTCTTAGGCAACTTTCCTTATTTGTTTACCATCCCAACTTTTCAATGGTATGATTGTGTAATTCATGCATGTGATATATGTAAGACATAATACATGTAAATCATACATGCGCTCACCTTCTGTTTCCCTATTTCTCACGTGTTTGCGCTGTAATAAATATGCCCTTCCACCCTGCTTTGGGTTGCACAATCTCCACCTCAATTTCTTTTTTTTCCACAAGAAATAATTGTCTCTAGAACTATGCTCTGATGAGTTCTCCCCCAGTCTGGGAGTGTGGCAGTGTGACTATAGCTAAAATTTGTCCAGATGTCTTGGAGTATTGTCTTCTCCCATCAGTTTAATCCTCGTTTGGCAATGTTAGAGTTGGTATAAGCTTTCATTTTTACACTTAAGCCCAGACATCATGTAATTCCTTTTCTATGTTTTCTCTTTGTTGCTGTTTTTAACTCTGCAGAGCCATTTGTTTCCACCAAAAAAAAAAAAAAATGGATGCTAGTGAGAGCCTGAATGATCACATTTTTCTGCACAGAGTTGGCCAGTTCTGTCTTCATTATTAAGTGATGCGCTAAATGAAAATCGGATTTATGAAACAAATAATGGAGGCTTCCAATTTTTCTGATTCTACTGTATTGTAGCATACATTAGTTTTACGCTAATAAAAACAAATCCGATTTTAATTGTGCTCACAAATATTCCATTAACTTCCCCAGGGATTTCTTTTTGCAAGGACACAGTCCTGTCGTTTGCTGTCACACCCTCTGCAAAGTCTCCAGACTTCCCTTTGCTTTTATGGCTGGGTTTTTCTCCGGGAGCAGCGGCAGCCGCTGGATTGCACACAGCCACTCAGAGACCATCTGTAGCTCGTGAAGCATCGCTAGAGTGGCTACCCTGCAGGCAAAGTGCCAGGACCCACTTGTGGGTTGGGTTTGGGTTTTTTAGCTCTCCAAAACGTGAATAATTTTACCCGCTTGTCTGTTACAAAGTGTAATGTCAAACCTCATTGGAGAGGGAAAATCTGCTTTATTTGGGGTTGCGTTTGCCCCTCTTCAAGGAAATCCCACCGTCACCCCCCACTTCATGCCTGATGATCGATGTGCTTGAAATTAGCCCAGCACATCTGAGGACCTCAATTTAAATCTGGAAGCGTAAGATTATGTTTACACCCTGTAATGGAGCGTGATAAAGCAACTGCTGAGCGAGCTACTCCTGGAATAGGCTCAGCAGAGCTGTATCAGCTCAGTGCTACGTTTGGGCTAATACCTCATGCAGATACCTTGCTAATTAGTCTGCCGATGATAGGCATTTGTAATTAAAGCAGGTTCAGCACTGCTTTCCTACCTTTGAAAAGTACATCATGTCTGTGGTGGTTCAGTCAGCATCAGACCAAACCTTGAGACTGTTGATGGAAGTCAAGCTTTTATGGAAAACAGAGAATAAGAAACTGAGGTATGGGAGGTGCGCTAATAGCTTAGAGGTCAGAGGAGCCTACATGGGGTTTGGAGAGCCAGATTCAAATCCTAATCTGTCCTGCCTTAGACTGAAGTAAATCTGTCTGGTGCATCCAGCATGAGCTATGTGTTGCTGCATCAATCTGGCATCTTGACCGGAAAGTCTAGCCTGGCCTGGGAAATCTTTGTCAAGGAGGAGTCTACGAAAAAGGGGAAAAAGCTGCCTTTTTGGCAAAAGAAAACAAACCTTGGATGTAAAGTTCCCAATGAATTCTTTAATAATTCTCGCGGTAGTTCAACACTCTTTTCTTGCTGTCCCTGTACCCTCTGCGGCTTTGTATTCTGTGTTTGCAATGTCTGGGTGCAAGTTTCAGGCTGGTTTTTATCTATTGCTTATGAGATCTGCTCTCTTCTCCTTTTTTTTTTTTGGTTTTCTGGTTGGATGGAACTGGGGCAGGAAAGTTTTGCGCAGTCCCATATGTGACTGAACACGTTTGCAGCACAGATGAATCCTAGTAAATCCTTGATTGATTCTTAGTTGATTCCCGGCTTTACGGAGGGGTTCTCCAGATGTTTATTGCAAGTGCTCTCCCATCACAACAAGTGAACGCTTAAAAATACGTCTTGGTTGACACAGGAAGATAAGATTTCCATTATAGATGCTGCTTTTATGGCAAACACTTAACAGGGCCTTGACAACAAGGGCAGCACGTGTACAAAATATATATGAAATAAATACAGCTGGTTTTATGAAATACAGAGAGACATTCGGTAATCAAGGGTTCTCTTATATTGCAGTGTTCCCACGTTCCAGAGCCTTCCCGAGGAGATACTTAGTAAGCTTGCAGATGTCCTCGAAGAGGTAAGTGCTTTTAATTTTGAGATCTAATGAGTTCATAGTCTGGGAGCCTCCTAGTAGCAATATCCAGGCTCCTTTCAGAAATAACTGTTTCACAGTTTTGCTCCCAATTACAGCTGACTTTTCCCACACGTAGAGACAGTGAGTGGAGCTGTGTGAAAAATGACTCCGTTTTACAAAGGCCTTACGTATTTTTAATTGGGTTTCTTTCCAGTTGGGAATGGAAACGATAATTTCCTGCGTTTTGCAGAAGGGAAACCTTCTGCCATGGTCCCTGCACTGGGGACCTGTCCAGAGGTCTTCTACTGATGGGTGGGCCGCGGTGGAGGAGGCATGTTTTGGTCTGAACGCCTCTGGGAAAGGATAGCTGTGTTGGCTTTTGTTTTTTTTAATGCTTTGACCAGCTCTAATGACGTGTTTCTGAGCTGTATGTTGGGGAAAGGAGGACGCGGAAATATTGTCGCCTTTCAAATTTCATGGGAAATCGTGGGAAATTTCGTGGCAATATGACACTTCAAGGTGAGCGTAAGGGAACGGCTACTCCCATGAGAATTACAGCAGAGAAGGGCAAATGTAATGTCGAGATATTTGAAAGTCCTTATGGAGTTGTGCCACGTCTACCTGGTTATAAGCTAGTATCTCATTAGTGTCAGGCTTCTAATAAGCCTTTACTAAAAAACTTGCACTCTCAGTGAACGTGTAAAACGGATGTAAAATAGCTGAATTATATGGCAGGCAGTTTGTCCACATAGTTTGGAATTTATTCACTCAGTGCTCCATGCTGTACCTGAAGAATTATATATTATCAAATATTGCAGAAACTGTTAATAAAACCTTTCAAAATAGAATCTGATGTGATTTAACTGCATGAAATCTCTGTGTACAACAGTATTTTATTGCTCCTCATGTTAAAGTAGTTTTTTTCGCATATGCCTTGCCATCATGAGCCAGGCCTAATAACTATGTTTATGGAAAAATGGTAGTGCATAGTAGTAACTACCTCCTCTTTCACTGATTTTAAGAAATGAAGCTGCTGACATTTTTTTAAGTCAATGTTCAGGTCTTTTTTTTTTTTTTTGCCTTCTTATTTAATGTACAAATAAACTCTGTAATCTGAACAAATTACACATCTGTCACACAGAGTAACTTCATAGATAAGCTTTATTTCCTCTACTGCAACAGAAATGTTCACGTTTAGAGAAAAGAGCCATATGAACTCAATTTGCTATGAATTAAACCCCAAAATATCTCAAAAGCACATGGCCAACCGGGAACAAATAGTTTAATTAGCTTGGATCACTGAACCAACATTAAGCTCCTTATCAAGAGTTAGGTAAAATGTATAAAGTCTACAGTACAACTTCTCCAGGCACAATTGCAGTTTCAAGGAAAAAACAAGTAAGAGCATAGGTGTAGAAATGAGGCACCTAACTATTTTTATAAACATTTGTCTTAAGACCACTCTTGTTGGTCTTTAAGTCATAAAACTTGGAAGATAAAGCTCCACGATTTTATCTTTACCTTGCGTTTTCTAAGAAGCTAAAGTGCAGAGATTAAGATGGATTCCAACTTGAAAATCAGGAGACAGCCAAACTGTGTAACGATGACGCTATGTTACTGCTCTGCTAAGAGGGGCTGGCTTCTTTTATGGTGGTTTGATTTCTCACCCAGAGCTGCATGAGGACAATTCTGTGAACTTAGATGAGATGCTGCGTTGCAAGAGCAGCACGTTGTCCCTAGTCCATTTAGGGCGACCTGCTAGATATCTCTTCTAAAATCAATTGCTTCAAAACGTAGGTCTTCAAAAATCAATTATTTCCTGCTTGGAATCCCTCTTGTCATTCACTATGTTGTTGTTTGTTTTAGCATACGACATTTTTACATCAACTATAAAATCACCTTACCACATATTTTGTGTTTAACAGTATCAAGCATATTGAAGCTAAGTGACAATAACTTTATTTTGTCCTGGCTGTTACTGTAACAAGGATTGAATTAAAGAGGCTGACTTGGCACAGTTTGAGACAGGGAATAATCTCTTAACTGTCAAGACTGAAAACAGTTTTTCTTCTGATATGATTCTGTGAATAATGCAGCGTTGCTCTCCTGCATTTTTTAAACAATTTCTAAAGACCGTTAACAAACCCAGAAGCAAGAAAGCTGTTTTAATTGTCCATTTTCCAAATCAAATGTGGAAATGGTATTGTGGAGACAGTGGGAAAAATGGACAAAGTTTTTTTAACGTTACATTTTAAGAGTTGATGGAAATGCTAAATTAACTTATTTAGCACAGATGAATTCAATGAGAATTAACGAAACACTGGGGGATTTCCTTTCCCCTTCCAGTGGCTTCTGGCTAGTATAAGATCACTCCCATCTCCTAGCTCTGAAATTGCTTGTGGCTCACATGCAGGTGAGAGTAGAAACTAATGTATTACTTTTTTTTTTTTTTTTTAAGCAGCTCCAAACCTGTGCCGCTGGTGTTGTGTGTTTTTTGTAAAGAAGTCTTTTTGGCACAAATTCGGTTTACAGGTCTGTACTTTACCCCATTTCTGCATCTGATCACAAGAAGAGCCTGGCATAGCCCTTTTTGCAGTGCCCAAAGACTGGTTCCCTGTGTTGTTACACTAGATTAATTTCATTATCTTAATATTTCTTAGTGTTACACAAATATTTGTTAATATGGAAGGTATAACTGACTCTGTATTAACATTTCTTAGTAAGTTTGAGGGCAACTGCAGTTTCTTTCAGCGCCTTTGAAAGCTGAGCAGCCGTTTTAGCTCAGAGTTTGATTTAGTTTGGTTTTAATGCCGTCTCTGTTGGAACAGCTTTCCCTGGCCTGAGATTTTATTGCGTTGTTTATTCTCGTGCTTGCCAAACATAATGCGCAAATCAACAAGTAATATGTTTCTACAGCTCAAGTCTTAATTCTTATTTTGCCTGGGCTTTGTTAGGTGTCCTAAGGAAATGAGGCTTGTGCAATTGCTCTGCCTGCCTGCAGGACTGCCCAAAATAATTTTGTAATTGCTTGCCCAGGACACGTTGGACACACAGGTGGAAAGATCAGTGCAGAAGTTCCTATAAATTGGTTTCTGGATAGGTAGAGCAGACTTAAATGAGTGCCCCCACCATGGAAGAGGCCGCAGCAGGAGCCTGTTGCGTGCCTGTCTTTTTGGCTTCTGGCCAGCCAGTGCCCATGAACCAGCTGGGGAGGGAGACGCAGGGAGAGACCAGGTACCGAAGAGAGTAGCTGTTTGGGACGACGAGCATCATGACCGAGGGCTGAAGGACCCAAATCTCTCTGCACCCGGAACAATTTGTTAGGTGGGGTGGTGCAGCTCGTCTGGCCTTTGCTGCGTATCTGGGACGTCAGAGGCGGCACGTATCACTGCAGCCCAGCAGACCTTTAAAAAAAAACGTAAGCTTGCGTGAAGACTCTAGTGCACGCTACGAAAACCCACAGTTAATGTTGATCCGTGCCCAGCACGGGTCTGTGAGGTCGCAGAAGTCTGCCGTGAGCCTGAGCAGTGGCCAGAGGTTTGCCTGGAAATATGGCCGGATCTTCAGTCCGGTGCAGCAGTAACCGGTGAAAGCAGCCAGCCAGCCAAAAGCAGTAGTTTCACTCTTGCACTTGTAGCATTATCCCCAACATAATATATAAAAATATATATATAGTTACATATGCATTATATATAATGTGTAATCTCTAGTTTTCCTTTCTCAGTGCCTGCTTTCTCGTGTTTTTCTTCCCTTGAAAAAGTCCTTCCTGACCTCCCCCGACCCCTCAAATGTAGGGCCCTGGTCTGCTCCTTCTTTCAAAACAAAAAACAAAACAAAAAAAAAAACCCTGTAGCTCAGTTATTTTTGTCTCTGGTGTGCATAGTTACCGCTTTGTTCGCCGCTTAGAAGCGTTGGCCTGGTAGCGTACGAGTCTCGCTCTGCCCTGTTTTTGTAAAGAAATTTGACATGTTTACGCTTAAATATTGCAGGATTAATGTCATTAGAAAAGATAACAGTTAACAGGATGTATCCCTCGCTGCTTAACATAGCTGCGTGCCTTGCCCCCGCCACAAGTGCTGTACGTCTCCGACGTCTGAATACCTGTATCAGTTATGTAAATATTCTTGCTCTGGATGAACACAAATCTCCCTCGAAAAACAGCTCGTTCTTGCGCACTATTTTTATTCATGAACTGTCTGAATAACTGTAGTTTCCTTGAGTCAAAGCAGAGAATTTGTTTGAAAATGGAAAGATTTACTGTGGGAGAATAATAACTAAGATTAAAGTACTTTCTTTTTTTTTTTATTTTTTTAAATAAAGCTGCAAACCTCTATGAAAATGCAAAACCCTGACCTTCCTTTCCCCATTTTTAAAGGCTTTGAAATAATTTATGGCTGCCTTTTCTGAATAAAGAGTTTCCCATTGTCTTAGAATTTAAAAAAGTTGTGTACTTTTTTGCATTCAGCACCATTAATATGGTGAATATCACTAAAATAAATGGATTTTCTGTAGTAAACAGTTCTTTGCTAAGAAGATGCAGCTTTCCCATTCTAGCACTTCATTATAGCGTAGACAGTTTGTAACAGATGGGAATAAACTAATTGTTTTAGAAAACTGTAAAATGCACCCGAAGACCCGTAGAATGACGCGCTTAGGAAATTACTGCAACAGAGGTGCTGTGCAAGTATGTGACAGTGAGTATCAAAATTTTGGGTCCCGTCCTGCCGCCCAGGCTGAAGGCACCAAAGAGACGCTGAGATCCTGATCTGCTCTGGGAAGAACAGAGATTTTTTGTCTTGGCACACAAAGAGGTAGAAAGGGTGATTCATCTTCGCTCACATGCCTGTAGTTAGTTGCCGGCTGTGTGACACCCAGAGGTGATGGATGGTAGAAAACGCTGTAAAAATGAGGACAGATAAGTCTCACCGTGCCTTACCACTTTTTTTTTTTTTTTTTTTAACCTTCTCCTCTGCAGTGCTGACTGGTTAGGCTTGCAGAATAAA